CTCGGCCTGCTTTCTTCCAGAGCCCAGGACTACCATCCAGGGATGGAAACACCTTGGGCTGGGCCCTTCCCTATTGATCACTAAATGTGAAAATATCTTACAGCCGGGTCTCATCAAGACATTTCCTCAACCGAGGCTCCTTCTTCTCTGATGACTCTAGCTTATGTCAAGTTGACACACAAAACCAGTCAGTGCCGTTAGCTTTTAGGAACTAGTGAGTCTTAAAAATTGTCTTGCTCTCTTTAGATAGGCTATAGACTGGAGAGTTTCTAAACTGCACTAGCTGAGAAAAGTTTCCTGGGTGTCAGTCAGAGAACAAGTTCTTTCTAGCAGTGGCTCTGGACCGCTGTCCTGCAGGGTCTAATTACATTGCCTCCTTGACCTTGATTGCTACCTTTAAAAGAGGCTTTAAAGCCGGCCAGCTTCCTGGACCTGCCAAGTCGGCTGCCTGTCTGGCCAATGGTCTTGACTTGCCCAGACCTCCAGCTGTCTGACCACATGCTTAGCTAAGTCCATTTCTGTCATACTTATTGTCTATGCCTCTTTAGGAAAGGTTCGTTTAAGTTCTAGCTCCTCTGTAGCTTAGTGGTAGAGTGCTTGCCCAGAATGCATGAGTCCCTGGGTTCTATCCTAAGGACCAAACAAAACAACCAAAGGTACCTGGTGTAATAAATACCAAGAAGAAAATAAATTAAAGCTGGAAACTGGGCATGGTTTTGCAGACTGTAATCGTAGCACTGAGGAGGTAGAGTCAGGAGGAATAAGAGTTCAAGGCCAGCATTGATTTCCTAGCAAGCTTGAGATCAACCTGGGATACATAAGGCTGTATGTTATACATGCATATGCACACATACATGTAACTAAAATAAAAGAATAAAAGATAATATGGCGGGCTGGAGAGATGGCTCAGAGGTTAAGAGCATTGCCTGCTCTTCCAAAGGTCCTGAGTTCAATTCCCAGCAACCACATGGTGGCTCACAACCATCTGTAATGAGGTCTGGTGCCCTCTTCTGGCCTGCAGGCACACACAGACAGAATATTGTATACATAATAAATAAATATTTAAAAAAAAGATAATATGGCTGGAGGGATTGTACTCCGAGAGAATAAATACAAAGATGATAGTTTATCAGTGGTTCTCCACCTTCCTAGTGCTGCGACCCTTTAATACAGTTCCTCATGTTGTAGTGATCCCCAATGACAAAATTACTTCATACCTGTAATTTTAATATTGTTATGAATCATAATTTAATTTAAATATTTTCAGAGATGGAGATTTGCCAAAGGGGTTGCAGCCCACAGATTGAGAGCCACTGGTTTAGTTAAAAGATACAGATGTGTTTGAACAGGTTAAATTTGGTGGAAAAATGTATTTTTAAAATGTAAAGTATTGAGTTTAAAATGCACATCCACAGTGGGTTACAAATGTCTGCTTATGGATGCTTTCACGTTTCTATGTAGGTTGGCTGTACCAGTTTCTACACAGTCCTCTCTTCCTTCTCCATTAAAAGATTAGGTTACTCCAAAGATTCTCCTTCCCTCAATGAATTGAGGACCATGTTACAAAATAGCAATTATAATTAAGGATATTAAGAATAGCCTTGCTTTTAGCTTTCAGCTCATAGAAGAAGGTTTTCTTCCGTCATCTCAAAATTTAGGTTTTCTGACAGCAACTGCCTTCCCCATTCTATATGATTTTAATTGTGTCAAAATCGTATATGTAAGTATACTAGTTGTAACGTTCACATCAAGTCTACTCCAAAGAGTATTTGCCCTGTATCAGTCTCTTTCCAAAAGGTTGGTTATGACATTGCCAAAGCAACCAGTGACGGAAAGGTCCTGAGGATCGCAGTGCGGCACCATTTGAATCACACAGGGTCAGGCTGAGGTGGAATCTCCTGCCTTTGTCCCTGGTCAGCAAAACTTTCAAAAAGCCACCCAAAGTGAAAGGAACACAAAATTTGACACAGCGGAGATTCCACTTTGGATGAGGCTGTCAACATTGCCTAACAGATCTGAGACTGATGTGTAGTGCAGAACTTTCAGAGACCATGTAAGAAATCTTGGGCTTTGTCCCATCTGTGGGCTGTAGTGTCAGTGGCGTCACCCTCATGACATCATATATAATACCAAGTGGAGCTGGGCATAGTGGTGCACACCGGCAAGTGCACATTCAGAGGACAAGACAGGATGACTGAGAGTGCAAAGCCAGTCTAAGTTATGGAGAAACTCCATATGCAAAACAGACAAATAAGCAACAATAAGACCCTGCTAATCTTGGAAATACATCATGACAAAATGTTTTATGTCCACTTCCTTTCCCCAAAGATCTGCTCTGTCGCAATCTTTCTCTCTTGGTTTTTCAAGACGTGGTTTCTCTACGTAGACTTGGCTGTCTTGGAATTCACTCTGTAAACCAGGCTGGCCTTGAACTCAAGAGATCTGTCTGCCTCTGCTTAGCGATTGCTGGGATTAACGATGTGCCCACACAACTTCTGCTTTGTGCCTTAAGGAAATCTCCTTGTTCTCCTATAAAAGTTTTCTCCCTGACCTTACTAAATTGCCTATATGCATATCTTTTTTTAAAAAAATATTTATTTATTTATTTATTTATTTATTAAGCCTGCTGGCCAGAAGAGGGCACCAGATCTCATTACAGATGGTTGTGAGCCACCACGTGGTTGCTGGGAATTGAACTCAGGACCTTCAGAAGAGCAGGCAATGCTGTTAACCGCTGAGCCATCTCGCCAGCCCCCTATATGCATATCTAATCACTTTAATGAGCTAGTTGCTTCTTTTCTTGGCTTCCTTATGCACATGGATTACTGTTCTTCTTCTTACTCTGTTTCTGTTGTTGTCATCAGTTTAAAGGACCCATCGCTGTACCTAAAGACAGAGGAAACGTGTGTTTTCCTCCCTAGAAAGTCTGCTAGTTTTCAGAACTGGTGCTATTTGTATTTATGACAGAGTTCGTCATTGCATGGTACTATGCCATCAATTTTTTTTTTTTTTTTTTGAGGCAGGGTTTCTCTGTGGCTTTGGAGTCTGTCCTGGAACTAGCTCTGTAGACCAGGCTGGTCTCGAACTCACAGAGATCCCCTGCCTCTGCCTCCCGAGTGCTGGGATTAAAGGCGTGCGCCACCATCGCCCGGCTTTATGCCATCAATTTAAAAGCACACGTTCACTCCCCCCACTGCCCCACTCACTTCCATTTCACTCTGTGTCAATCAAAAAATGCCCATATGTATCCTATTAATAACTAGGATTGCCCTGTCAAAGAGAGAAAGGAAGGGTTATATAGTCAGGGGTCAAAGTCATCACAAAGGAACCCAGAGAAAAACCTAACCAGGGCTCATAGGAGTTCACAGACTTTGTACTGACAGCTAGGGAGCCTGTATGGGACTGACCTAGGCCCTCTACATATGTGTGACAGTTGTGTAGCTTGGTCTATCTGTGGACTTCTAGCGGCAGGATCAGGGCCTGTCCCTAACGCTTGAGCTGGCTGGCTTTTGGGAATCTATTCCTCATACTGGGTCACCTTGCCTGGCCTTAATACAAAAGGAAGGAGCTCAGTCCTACCTCAACTTGATAGGCCATGCTTTGTTGACACCTATGGGAGCCCTGCCCCTTTCTGAACAGAGGAGCAGGGCAGAAGGAAGGCTGTGGGGGATGGGAGGAGGAGGAAAGGGAAACTGCAACTGGGATGTAAAATAAATGAAAAAAAATTTATTTATAAAAAATAAGTAGGATTGCTAGACAAATGCAGGAAGTCAAGTTAAATTTGCATTTCATAATTATTTCATAATAATTTTTGTATATTTCAAATGTTATATCAGATGTGCCTTCTAAAATTATTTGAAATTCAACTACACAGGGTGTTCAAAACCCCAATTATAGTCTGAATGTTCACGCTGTGATAGCACCATCATCACCACTACACACACTCACACACTCACTCACTGAAACCTTAAGCACCTAGGAGATTTATTTTTTTTAATGAAAAAAAAAACCTTCAGAAAATGAAAGCTTAGCTTAATTGCTTCATAGGTCTATATTTTAAAATAAAAACAAAAAAGTAGTAGGTAAAAAAAAAACTGTAAAAAAAGAAATACACACTCACCCCAACCCCCTTCACATATAAAGGTGGAACTCATTGTGTTCAGTAGAGCTGGTTAACTTGTTAACAGAGATAGTCAGCCTGGTTGGGGGTAGTCAGTGAAGTCAAAGTTCTCTGAGACAATGTGGTTTTTCCTTAGCAGGAGCCAATCAGAATGGTCAGGAGCCAGGCATAGTTGTGTAGAATCACAGAACTTGGGAACCTAAGGCAAGAGGATTTGGAGTTCAAAGTCAGCCTGGGATACACAACAAAACTGTCTTCCAGAAAAGACCAACTTGGGCTGGGATATGGTAACCTGTAAAAAAGAGAGGGCTTGAGAGGATACAGCTCATTGATCATTGACAGAGTGCTTCTCTAGCATGTACAGGAAGCTGGGTTTGATTTTGTTAAATATCAGTTAATGAATTCTGAATATTCTGATTTTCCTAAGGAGGGAACTGTTTTAAAGCAGGAGTACAGGAACACACACACACACGAATGTACACATGCATACACACGTTTTCAATTAGAAATACATACAAAATGTTAAAGATGTTCCTGTATTCAGCAATGATCCTAGCAGCACTCATACCACTTCAGAACAAATAGTGGAAAAGCTTAGGTCCAGGTATGGTGGTGCATGCCTTTAATGCTAAGACTGGGAGGTAGAGGCAGGCAGCTGTCAGAGTTAAGGCCAACCAGGCCTACATGAATTCCTATCATAATAGAAAGAAAGGAGGAAAGAAAAAAAAGGAAGGGAGGGAGGGAGGGAGGGAGGGAGGGAGGAAGGAAGGAAGGAAGGAAGGAAGGAAGGAAGGAAGGAAACAAGCCTACTGGGAGAATTTCAAAGCTTCTACTATTGTGTTCCCAGGTCTTAAAGTCCAGCTGGATCGAAAGAATTTAAGCAAGAAAATGCAAATAGGAAAACCACTCTTCTGACAAAGAGCTGAGAGGTAGTTGGAGGCCCACTGTGGGGGACATGGTTAGTTTCCAAGTGGGGAACTGGACTATTGACAGATCTGGAATCATTTCTAAGGTAAGGGTGCCCTTGAAACAAAGCTTCAGAAGATGAGGGCGAGAGGGGAAAGGGAAGAGCTTTCCAAGCAAAGCCAACAGCACAAGGAAAGACAGTCCAAGCAAAGTTTATTAAACAACCACCAGTCCAGAGAACTGCAAACATTACCCGTGGCTGGAGCAGTCAGGAACAGTAAGAAACGAAGTGTTTGTTGTGGAATGTATATGACCCTTGTTCTTGCCTCATGAAGGAATTTAGTAAAAGCGTTTATCCCTCCTCCTCCTCTTCCTCCTCCTCCTCCTCCTCCTCCTCCTCCTCCTCCTCCTCCCCCCCCCCCCCCTCTCTCTCTCTCTCTCTCTCTCTCTCTCTCTCTCTCTCTCTCTCTCTCTCTCTCTCTCTCTCTCTCTCTCTCTCTCTCTTTCTCTGTCTGTCTCTTGGGTTATCTGTCTCTCTCTGTCTCTCTCCTTCCTTTTACTTATTCTTTTGAGACAGAGTCTGTCTATGTGGGTCTGGGTATCCTGGAACTTGCTGTGTGATCTAGACTGGCTTCAAACTCACCTGCCTCTGCTAAAAGCATAATTCTTGATGACTAAATAAAATGCTTTATCTGGTTGATTTTGTACTATTATCTGGATCCTGATAACTTTTTTATTAATGATCCTAATACTCTAAGAATGGAATTATGCATATCTTCAAGTACATTGAAATGCTTTCTCCTACTATAATATGGTTCCTGAAAATTTTAAAAACTCGTTGAATAAACATGAATTCACACATATAAGTCTCTTAGCAAACAGATGTTATTGAAGTAAAAGTAGTTATGCTCTGATATTTAGAATATTTGCAGAAATTGCCTAAAATCTTATGCTTGAATACTAGCATAATATTTTTGCATGCACACAATTTGCACCTTTTTTTTCAGTGCAGGTGATCCAACCTGGAGCCTTGACATACTGGCCATCCAGTCTACTACTGGGCTATACCCCAGTCCCTCTTTTCTAATTTTTTTAATGTCTAACCATTATTATATGCTGCCATCTCATGGTTTTCAAATTATTATATAACATTAATGTTAGCGAATATTTTATATGAAGGGAAATATTTCAATAAATAGCTAGATCACATTTTAATGCCTGGACACAGCATATAATTATGTAGATAATAATATAACAGTGTAGATAATATCACATTAGTGTAAATATACATTTTCAGATATATATATATATTTCAAACATAAGCAATAAAGAATCTATTGACAGAAGTAAAAATACTTTCTATGCTTGTTTTCTTCATTCTGGACTTCAGGTTATGTGGGATAAGTGAAATTATGTCTGATTGTTATCATTTTTGTTATGGTTTAGGGAAGGAAATCATTTTATAAGTTTGATCCCATTCCCTAGAGTTTAGAGGGAACTGAAATCTTAGAAGTGGTTTTGAGTGAGAAAAGGCAGGGTTTGAATCCTAGTCCTGGATCACTTAATAAATATATAGTAAAAGACAATAATCATGCAATGTTGGCCAAATGAGTTCGCCTCTATGAGTATCCGTTTCTGCATCTGTTAAGTGGGAATAATAACAAGCACTTCAGAGGTTGTTGTGATGATCAGTGCTTAGTGATGAGCACAGTCTAGGGCATGGTTAGTTCTCCGCACACTTGTATCTAATCAATGGCACAGTAGCTCTGAACCTGAACCAAAAGGAATCCAGCATAGGCATCTCTACTCCTAATATGATATGCAACTTGAAATAGTTTTTTGTGACACTGCAATTCTGTTTCTGCATCCAGAAAATGAAAACGATGTTGCAACTATTTGTAAATATGAGTACAAACCTTGAAAGTTATGTAAATGCTAATTTATGTATCATATTGAAACCTCTAGCTATGTTTATGGTCCTGAAGATAAGAATAGTTAATGTTTTGTATTTACAGTGTTCCTTCCACTCAGGCATTAAGAAGACATTTCCAAGGTGAGCAAGCATACAGCCTTGAATGTCGCCAGGGTTATGAACATGGAAGCAGTGACAGGAGGGACTGGTATCCTAAGATCCACAGAAAACCCCTGTCCCTAAGAAGTAAATAGCAAGTCTTTAATGAACCTTGCCAGCTGCTGCAGTAAGAAGTGGGTAGGCCAGACCTCCAGGGTGGGCTGATAACGCAGGTCTCTAGGCTACTTGAAAAACTTCAGCCTCTCCTTTCCTTTTCAATGCCAGACTAAACCACGATTCAGTTCTCTGTAGACTTAGCAACAAAACAAGAAAGTGCAAAAGTGTGGATGTGGTAAGAACCTTTTTTTGACTCACGTCTCAAGAGAGGAGATTAATCATTATAACTAGTTTAATTAACATTAACATTCAAATATTAATTTAAGAGTTGTATAAAGCAGTAATCATACTCCTAGATATGAATTCTGACTTTGGAGTTTCCTAGCAATGTAAATGTAATACTCCAGGGTCTTAGAAAAGATGACAAAATAGTATCTACCTCATTAACTAGACCAATACCTTAACCATTATTAAAGACTCCATGAATGCCTCACTAGCTGTGTGGTTCAGCTGGGTATGTAAATGAAGCTAGTTGTGACTGAAGAAACATAATGGTGACTCTTATGATGCCAGGACATATTATTTCATAAACAACAACCATTCTTTCTTTCTCATCATTACAATTCTAAAACACTGCAGCACACAGGTTGTAAGGCAGTCTTTGCACAACTAACTACCCTTATCTTGGTTTCCCTGTTCGTGAAATGCTTAAAACAGTACCCTCTCTGTGAAGTTGTTTAAGCAGAGCTGTTTAAATGATACAAATAAAATATCAGTCCATTTTCTGAAAGAGAGTAAATGTTTAGTGTTATTTAGTGAAAGACACGTAAATCTCTTCAGATACTCCTGAGTGTAACTATCTTCATCTCAAACCTACCATGGTCAGAGTCGGAACTTTTTACTGTAGACTTAGACACAGTAAACAAACCTAAAATGAAGCTGTGTCTGGTGTAGACTCAGCTCATGTAAGTGCTGCCTAAGGCATGCCGTTGTAGGAACACCGAATGTTGTTTCCTTTCCTTGGCAACCCTCACAACTCTTGTCTCTGAGACATCCTGAATTGTTTCAAGTTTCAAGTCCACTAGGCTAAGGGAGATTGTTTATGGCATCACAAGGTAGGCAGGGTCTGAGTGTTGATTTGAATCTTCTAGAAGCAGCAGGAAGGAACCATAACCAGTTGGCATTAGAGCTAGTCTTTGAGACAGCATGGAGGTTTGAGGGAAGATGTTTTTAAAAGTTACAGGAAAAAAAATAAAAACAGTGTCTTGAATTTCAGGGTTTGCATCTATGTTAGAGTTTGATTTACCTTCTCTAAGGGTTAACTCTGGAAAAATGTTTGTAGCATTTTTTTATCCAATTTATTTTGCTCTAAAGCTCATTATTGTCTTAATAGATTAAAATTAATTATGGTATTAGTTCAAGCAAAATTTAATAAGGAAGTCAAATGCTTTGCTTCCGTCTTCCTCAAAGGCACCCTAAAGTAAAAGAGTTTTACATTATAAATTGCTCTCAAGTATTCCAACCATTTCCATTTATCATTTAAAGAAATAAATGCTTGTAAAACATATTCATAAAATAACAAAATGTTTTAACAGAAAAATTTGTTAGTAATTCACAAGAGGAATTAGAGCTAGTTGTGTTTATTAATGTACTTACAATAGACGGTTCACTGAATTTCCTTTTGCCTTGTTCTTAATCCAAACTTTATCTTCATTTGCAATGGCTGGGAATGTTGCTATGGCAACATTAGGATTCAGGGTTTTAGAATGTGGCCAGATCAGAACGTAACATTCACACTTCTATGTGTAGTATGTAAAGTCTGGTCTATGGTATTTACTGTTAGAGGCTGTGTGCTATGTATTGTTGTTATTGGTGTTGTTATTGTATATGCGTTCCAGAAGATAATTTTCTTAATTTCCACTATCTAAATATCTTGGAGAAAAGGAAGGGAGGGAGAAAGGGAGGAAGGGAGGGAGGGAGGGAGGGAGGGAGGGAGGGAGGGAGGGAGGGAGGGAGGGAGGGAAGGAGGGAGGGAGGAAGAGAAGAAAGAAGAAGCACTACAGTTTCAGGAAAGCCGGCCTACAAAACCACTCCTGACATTATGCTTTCAATCTTTGTCTTGTTAGGTTTATACTGCTGTGATCAAACATCATGGCCAAGCAACATGGGCAGAAAAGGGTTTATTTTGATTTACCACCCTCAGGTTGATGCATCACTAAGAAGCAGCAGGGCATTGACTCAAGGCAGGAATTGAAGCAGAGGCCAGGATGGAAGGATGTAGCTTGTTTGTCATGCTTTTGCTTAACCCCCCTTTTCAGAGTTCGATTTTTGTGTCTGCTATCACTGAGATTAGAAAAGCTTCTGAGACGAAAGAAAGACAGAAGACAGCATGACTTTCCTGCTGTACTCTAACTTACCTTTTTATCCACAGCAGTTGAAGGATTGAATTTGGGAACCAGTGTTATTCTCTCCCCTAAGGAGTGTGTTAAATGAAGTATGATGACATACAATGAGGTGTGATTGTTTCTGTGCCTTTTTTTGAAGCACATTGCTTTGTCTCCAAAATCGAGTACATTCTCTTTGTAGAACAGCAAGCCCATTAACCCTAGGCGTAGAGTGACATTTGCCACCTAAAAACTTTGCAGTTTTTAGGACAGTTTTTCTCAACTTCAGCGTATAAACATAGGTAAGGACTTTCTGAATAGGACCCTGTCATTGAAGCAATAAAACCAACAATCAACAAACGTGATCTCGGGACTGGAGAGATGGCTTGGTGGTTAAGAGCTCTGACTGCTCTTCCAGAGGATCCGGGTTCAAGTCCCAGCACCCATATGGCAGCTCACAACTGTCTGTAAAAAGTTTCAGGGGATCTGACACCTTCACGCCAATGCACATAAAAAATAAAGTTAAGTAAGTAAAAAAAATTCTTAAAAAAAAAGTGATCTCATGAAATTAAAAAGCTCTGGTGTAACAAGAATAGCTAGTCAAGCAAAGAGACAACCTACAGAATGAGACAAAACCTTCACCAACTATAAGTATGATAGAAGACAAATATCTTAACAAGGAAACAAGCAAGCCAGTTTTAAAATAGCCTTAAAAATGTAATAATCATTCTTAAAAGAAGAGATGCAAATGGCTAAAAAAAGTTAGTGTTAAACATTCTTAGTCATCAGGAAAATTCAATTTTAAACTGTTAAGAGATAACGCAACCATAATAGGATGGCTATCATCAATAAAACAAATGACAGCCAATGCTGGCCAAAATGTGAGGAAAGAGTAATCCTTATCTACTATTGATGGGAGTGTAAACTGGCAGCCACTGTAGAACACACTATGGAGGTTTCTCAGAAAGATAAAAATGGAGCTACCATATGACCCAACTATATCTCTCTTGGGCATATATACCCAGGACTCTATATTCTACCAAAGAGAAACTTACATATCCATGTTTATTGCTGGTCTATTCACAATAGCATGAAAATGGACTCAGCCTAAATGTTTATCAACTGATAAATGAACAATGTAAAGGTGATAATATATGTGTGTGTATGTGTAATGTATACTTACTCTGTGTGTGTATGTATGATGGAATTTTATCAATCACAAGGAAAAATGAAATCATCCAATTTTCAGAAACCTAAGTGGAACTGGAAAATATATTAAATAGGCTTATGATGCCAGACAGAGAAGACAGATCCCTGGGGTTTACTGGCCAGTCAGCCTAGCATACTTGGTGAGCCCAGGTCAGTGAAGGATCCTATATCAAAATAAGGTAGATGGTGCCTGAGAAATGACAGCCCAATGTGACCTCCGCCATCTGTGTACATGTTCATACAGTCATGCAAATGTACCTGTATGCACACATACGCATACACACAAAGAAGAAATAAATAAATAAATAAATAAATAAATAAATAAATAAATAAATAAAATACAAGAGATAAAAAACAATATAGCATGAAAGTTACCTGGCCACTCTTGTTCAGAAAGAAATCACAATGATTTATGTTCTCTTTTTCTTCTCTCTCTCTCCCCCTCTTCCCCGTGTGTGTGTGTGTGTGTGTGTGTAAGGATGTATGTGTGTGGTATATGCTAGTGTGCTAAGTATGCAATATACATGGATGCACACAGGTGGCGGGCAGGGCAGGGCAGGACATTGTGTTTTTGCTACTACTCTCTACACTCTACTTATTGCCTGGAGACAGGATCTCTCACTGAACTGAAAGCTTGTCACTTTGTCTAGGCTAGCTGGCTAGTGAGCTTGAGATCTGCCTGTCTCTGCTCTCCAGTGCTAGCTAGGGCTACAGGTATTTGACACTGTGCCTTGCTTTATACATGGGTGTTGAGGAGGTCCTCATGTTTATCCAGCAAGTCCCCTTACCACCAAGCCGTCTTCCTAGACCCTTGAATTATATTTGTTTTATTTATTTATTTTGGGGGGGGGGGATGAACTGAAGGTTTTGGTTCTGTAGTTCATGCTGGCTTAGACCTCGAGATCCTCCTGACTTTGCCTCCCAAGTGATAGGCGTCCCTTCCATTTCAGACATATCTCATTTAGTACAGTCAGACCTCTGGCTTATGTCCTGCGTGCCAGATCCAGTTATTCCCTAGAAGAGTTATTTTTTTTCCACTGGACTCTTTCAATAACCGATTCCAAAAGGGGAAACTTCAGCATAATGAAATTCATTTGAATAAATTTGATAGACTTTGGTTTGGCTATCGTGCTTAAATGGATTTAAACAGATGAAAAAATATCTTCTTGGGTTTGCCAGTGAAGAGGATGATTTATGTATGAAAGGCATTCTTGTCATGTGGGAGAATGTCAAACTTTGCTTCAAATTGCTTCTGATTCAAGCTCAGTGGAGCCTTTTCCTTATCTTTCTGAATCTTCCTGCAGCAGCAGCTTCTTCTTCTTCTTCTTCTTCTTCTTCTTCTTCTTCTTCTTCTTCTTCTTCTTCTTCTTCTTCTTCTTCTTCTTCCTCCTCCTCCTCCTCCTCCTCCTCCTCCTCCTCCTCCTCCTCCTCCTCCTCTTCTTCTTCACCACGGGCAGGATTTCACTATGTAACACTGGCTGTCCTTAAATGTGTAGACCTCCTGCCTCAGATAACTGAGCGCTATGACTATGGGTATGCAGGAAGTCCAGCTTTTCTTGCCTTCCTCCTCTAGCCCCCAAATCAATTACTTTTTCTAAGTTTTAAATTTACACTTTTGGTTTGTTTTTCTTTTTTCTTTTGTTTTGGTTTGGTTTTCGGAGACAGGGTTTCTCTGCAGCTTTGGAGCCTGTCCTGCAACTTGTTCTGTAGGCTAGGCTGACCTCGAACTCACAGAGATCCGCCTGCCTCTGCCTGTCTAGTGCTGGGGTTAAAGGCATGTGCGACCACCAGGAGAATTTGCACTTTTGACAGTGCCTAGGGTTATTCAGTAAAACAGGAATATCCTTAATTGTATAGGCCATTTTTGTAGAATCCTAGAGGAAAATATTTTTTGATGTAATCATGAAGGAATGCTATCCTCCCTGCAATGAGTCCCTTATTGAGACTCTATGAAGAATGTGATGATGAAAATAAGAGGTAAGGCATTCTCCATGCATGGTATGGGCTCACAATAGGACCCCTTTCTAAGGAGGGCCTTCAGTATTTCTTTGAGTTGATCCTACTTGCTAGATTCACTGAAGTTCTAATGTAAACTAAACCATAGACCATCTTATAGCAAGGTTTCAGGGTTTTACCAGCTGTGTCACTATCGAGTTTTAACAGAACATGTGCTAACTAGTAGGGACAGTGTTTTCAGTTTTAGATACTGAGACGAGGCAACCAGAAGTCTTGTTAGGATCTATGGTTTGCTTGACACTCAATTCTCACTGTTCTCAGGGGCTCCATAAGCAAGGACAGATATCACACATTCCCAGAATTGGAAATTCCGTATCTCCTGTGTTTAACCAATGCCACCTCCAGCTTCAGATCAAGAATTTCCCTACTTATTACAGAAAAACAGGACTGGGTGTGGTGGCACACACCTTTATTCTCGACACTAGAGAGACAGAGGCAGGTGAATCTCTTTGAGTTAGAGGCCAGCATGTCCTACAGAGTGAATTCTGGGACAGTCAGAGCTATACAGAGAAACCCTGTCTTGAAAAACCAGAAACCAAAAAAACAAAACAAACAACAACAACAAAAAAAAAAACAAAACCAACAACAAAGTGCAAAAAGCCCCAGACACTTCAAATGGCTACAGATGTAGTCTTTTACCAGCACAGTCTTGTACTTCATATACACAGGATTATCTAGGACCAAGAGATTTTTCAGATATACATGAGAATTAGTTTTTCTTAAAATTAAATTTGTATACAAAACATTGAAGTTTTTTTTATGGTATGTGTTCTCATAATAAACTTCATCACAGCAGGAAACAATGAAAACTCTGTGGTCAGATATTCTTGTTTCAGGGCACACATTATTCTGCCCTCTGTCATGATGTCTGTCATGTGTTAGGTTAGTTATAATGTGGTTATGTCAGAAACAAGGGCTCTGAGATACTAATGATGGCTGATAGAAAGCCATGCATTTATTTAATACACTTCCTTTGTAGAAACAAAAACAGGAAGAAGGGCCAAGGGAGAGTTTCTTACCAGTAAAGTGCTTGCTACTCAAGCATTAGGACCTGCATTTGAGCCCCAGCCTCCACATAAAGTTTCAGCATGATAGTGGATTTATTATTTTCTTATTTTTATTTTTTTTTATTTATTTTAGAGACAGGGTTTCTCTGTGTAATTGCTCTGGTTGTCCTGGCACCTGATCTGTAGACCAGACTGGCCTTGAACTCACAGATATCTGCCTGCTTCTGCCTCCTGAGTGAATGCTGGGATTAAAGGAGTCTTCCAGTGTCTCCAGCAATAATAGATTTATAATCCTAGGTCTTTGGCTAGAAAGAAGTAGATCAAAGGGCTCACTGGCCAGACAACCTAGTCTAATTACTGATTGTCACATGCCAGTGAAAGGTTCTATCATGGAAAACAAGGTGGATGGCTGCTGGGTATAATACTCAAGGTTGGCCTCTGGCTTCCACATGCACAGATAAATCTGCACACATACGCAAATATGAACCTACTCATAACCACACATACATACATACACACACACACCACATGAAAGATAAGAATGTGGTACAGCGTTTGTACTCTATCTCTAAGATAATCAGTGTCTTAGGGCTTCTATGAGGTATGAGGAGATACCATGACCACGGCAACTCTTTTTTTTAATTAATTTATTTATTATGTATACAGCATTCTGCCTCAATGTATGCCCGCAGGCCAGATGAGGGCGCCAGATCTCATTACAGATGGTTGTGAGCCACCATGTGGTTGCTGGGAATTGAACTCAGGACCTCTGGAAGAGCAACCAGTGCTCTTAACCTCTGAGCCATCTCTCCAGCCCCCACGGCAACTCTTATAAATGAAAACATTTAATTGTGTATCTTACAGTTTCAGAGGTTCAGGCCATCATCATTATTGTGGGACATGGCAGTGTGCAGGCAAACATGGTGATAGAGCAGTAGCCAAGAGTTCTACATCTTGCAGGCAACAGGAAGTAGTCTGAGTGTGACACTGAGGGAAGCTTGAGCAAAAGAGACCTCAAAGCCTGCCCCAACAGTGACACACTTCCTCCAACAAGGCTATACCTTCTTCAACAAGGCCACACCTCCTAATCATGCCACTCCCTTTAGGGGTCATTTTCTTTCAAATCACCACAATCATTTAGGCAGCAAAGGTAGTATTTCTTAAATATAATAACTGTATTTTGGAATCTTAGGTACTTGGAATCCTCACAAATTTGGTTTTAAACAACTTACTAGGTTGAAAACTAGCATTAATATGGCCCATTTTATTTCCTTATCATGGCTTTGGAAACTTATGCTTAAATAATTCTGAAAGTCATTTTCAGATTGACAGGTAATGAGTCATGAGAACAGTTCCACCTCTGACTCATCGAGTATCTGGTACAAGTCATTTGACTCATCAGTTTCTCTCATTTAGGAAATGTCACCGTACATGTACCATAAAGTGCTTTTGAAATGCTGGCATCCACAGAGAAAAGGTGACAGCTACAAGGTTAAAATCTCATTTCACATGTAGTTATAAAACTTCCAGCATTTTAATTCCCTTCCAGACCACAGAAACTCCCTTCCTTTACAAATCACACATCTTTCAGAGATCTCTTTATCTGGTGCTGGTGGGGATTATATCCAGCCGAGCACTTCTGCAGGCAAGGCATGTGCCTCACCGCTAAGAGTACCACCAGCTGCTACTTTTTCTTTAAATGAAATAACTTACTAAAAAGTTTTGTAGCTGCCGTATGTTTCTGGCCACAATGCTAAGTATAAAATCATAAGAAATATTCACTATTAGATTTAGCTTACCAGTTTTTCCCCAGTTAAATTAAAAATTCACACAATACCCAGAGACGACGACTAATTAAGTAAATAAACAGATCATTCTATTTTGGTGAAGTGGAACGAAACCTGTCTGCACCATGGCTTTTCTAGGATTGGTGAATATGAGTGCCCTAGGAACAATTTTGAGCAAGTGGAAAGTCTGACACAGTGTGTGAATGGCACGCTTTTGTCTGAATAACTAAAAAGACACACAGAAAGCTTTTTTAAAGAACAGTTTTAGATTTAAAGAAAAATTGAGCCGACTGTATAAAGTTTCCATATATTTCGTGTTCCATTTCTTCCATCATGTTACTACGATCTCCTTGTTAAAG